CAGAATCCACGGAATCATTAAATGGAGAGTTGGGGTTTTCAGAGGCCCTAAAGCTAGGTGGGCAGTCAGAGGCATCACTGCCCCTGCGACTGCCATCGGGACTAGAATACTCTGGCGGCGGGGCCTCTGGCTCTTGGTTATCGGGAGCAACCGCATCATTGCCCTCTGCATTGGCCAAAGCAAAACGACTGGACCCCTCGCCAGCATCTTCATGAGAAGGAATGTGCGTCAGCTGAGCGAGGGAAATGTCAGTTGGTGATCGAGAAGGACCCGGGCTGGGCGCCAGAGGAATCCTAACACTTGAGCCTGAGGTCGCATAATTTGCATTTTGGTAAACGCGCTGGGAGATTTGAGCCGCACTCTCGCGGCCGGACTCAAGTAGAATGCTGCCTTGTTCACTGCCATAGGGTGGCGGCGGGGCGAGGCTACCAGTCATGGGGGCCAAGCCCCATTTTTTGACATTGCCTTCGATGAACACAAATCCCATTTGACCAAAGTTCACGTGGATAGTGCAAGGCCCATTAGCACCGATGGTGGGGAATAGGTTTTGGGAGCGATAGTTGTGAGCCACATCTTCCAATTTCTTCCCGTTGCGTGTGAAGAAGACGGTGCCAGATCGAGGTCGGTAACCTACACCAATAACATCGCCCTGAAGTAGTGGAGGCCCGTATGGAGTGGGATTAAATGGTTGGTTCAGTCTGCGATGTCCGGTGGATTGGTAGGCAACGGAGGTTTTATGGAAGCCTAGCGGTTGTTAGCGGGAATTGCTCGGCGGAAACACTTCTGTTGCAACACATACCAGGCATTCGGAACAGGGGATATGGCTTCGTAGTCACACCAATGCCGATCATAGTCGAGTCAGGCTTGTCATATATCTTCGCCTCCCAGTAGTAGACATCATTCTGTTTGGGGATTGGCAGGTTGGTCTGTACACTGCACTCTGAATCAAAAAACTCAATTTCCGTTCGTCCTTCCACAAAGCAGTTCGCAATTTCCAGCTCCGGCTGGAATTCCCAAGCAGATACGCCTTTTTCCTGGATTGCAAGGAACTGTGATAGGGAGATGTCGGTTTGCACGGACTCGGGAGGGTTTCCTTGGACAAAAGCTGCAAACCATTAGTAAAATGATCAAAAACGACTCGCGCGAAGGTTCATCTCCAGTCTTACCTTTTGCTCGTAAATATTCCGATCGCGCCAAGTCATCCATTGACTCTAAAGCTGCCTCTTCCTCGCGCAAAAACGCTTGCTCATCGTCGTATTCACCGGGCCTGCCAATGCGATCGAGCATAATCCGCCCCCGGCGAGTATATTTGAAAAAGAAAAAGATCGCTATTACAATAAATGCGACGGCGGCCGAGCCAAACGCGGACAAGATCCCAATTAAGATGCCTTTGCCGGTTGACCCGGTCGAGTTGCCACTGGCCAACATCGGCTCGGGACGGAACTCCATCGACAAGGAGGAGAAAACATTTTGTAGATTCGCTTGAATTTGCTGCTGCGAAAGCGATGGATGGCTTTGTATCGGTGTTGGAAATGATGTCGAGACAATGCCAATCGGTGACGTCGTCGGGTTGCCTATCACCGTTCTCAGGGTCGATGGCAGGCCTGCGAGCGCATCGGGGCTCGAAGCCTCAGGACCCTGCATCGTTCATGCGTCAAGTGAAAGTACAAATAAAAAGAAAAAGTCGAGAGAAGTCGGGAAATATTAGGATGTGGTAAAGAGGAGGTGAGAGAGAGAGAGAGATAAGTGGGCGCAGCGGATAAAATGGGCCGGTTATCTAAGACGTTTTCGGCCCTGGAGGACCTAGAGCGCTGTACTAACAATGCAAGGTAATGTAGAGTTGGTTCCTGGATTTGAAGATCCTAGATCCTGGAATATTCAAAGAAATCCAATGTCTTTTTTTTAAAAAAAAAACAAAATTTGACTTTGCATTCTGCTCAAAAACAGAAATACATGTAACTATAGTAGAGTGTCACACCTGGGGCTAGATAATGGCCTATCTATCCCTACTCGGGATAAGCCCTTCTCTCCTCTTCCCCTCTCTCCTAGCTCCTTGCTTGAGATCCCTCTCATCCCCTCTTTTTGAAGTTTCTTTTAAAACTTGAGAATGCGTGCAAATAGAGCTACCCAGGGGTCTACGGCTCAGGACGTCATGATCAATCCCCTCGACTCCTATAATATCCGCGTGGTGACACCTACCTCCTGCGATAAATACCCAGGTGAGTACACTTCTCCCTATAGTGAATAGCGCACGGTCGGAATGCCTTGATTTGACCTCCTTTGCCCTCTCACATACCTGTTTACTACTCTACTGAACCCCAATCGGTGATCGCGTGGGACTCGAGCTGACCTGACCGCCCTCACCAGCCAAGCACCATGCGCGTAACGTCGCCCGGAAGCTTGGAGCTTCAAGCGGCTTGATTTTCCTCTCCGGACAACCGACAATTAATCTGCGCGATTCCGATCAATCGCGCCCATTCCGACAGCGACGATACTTCTACTACCTAAGCGGAGTCGACGAGCCCGACTGCTCTCTAACGTACGATATTGGACAAGACCTGTTAACTCTCTATGTCCCTGATTTTGACCTTCACCGTGCTATTTGGATGGGACCGACGCTCTCGCGAGAAGATGCACAAGACAAATATGATGTGGACCATGTGCGGTATCGTGCTTCGCTCAAATATGAGCTGCAAGTATGGCTGGACGAGCGAAAGCAGGGCAGCGAGCTGTACCTAATCCATGACTCGGAGAAGCCCGAACATCTACCAAAAGACCTGCCATTAGATCTGGAACAGCTCGGGCCTGCTATGGATGCAGCCCGAGGCGTAAAGGACGAATATGAAATCCGGATGATCCGCCAGGCCAACAAAGTCTCGGGGCTTGCCCATCGGAGAATCCTAGAGAATATCCAGACCATGTCCAACGAGGCGCAAATTGAAGGATCGTTTTTGAACACCTGCATCTCACACGGCGCCCGCAACCAAGCATACCAGATTATCGCAGCATCGGGACCCAACGCGGCTGTCCTGCACTACGACCGAAATAACGAAACTCTCAACAAGAAACCCCTCGTCTGTCTCGATGCCGGCGCAGAGTGGAACTGCTACGCAAGTGATGTGACGCGGACCTTCCCGCTTACCGGCGAGTGGCCTAGCGACTATGTGCGGGATATCTACAAGATAGTAGAGCGCATGCAGGAGGAGACCATCCGGCTGATCCGGAAAGGAGTACGATATCTATCTCTCCACGATCTAGCCCATGATATTGCAATCGAAGGTCTCCTGGCTCTGGGAGTATTCAAGAACGGGACCAATCTCGAGATCCGTCAATCTGGCGCATCCAAGGTCTTCTTCCCCCACGGCTTGGGTCATCATGTCGGCCTCGAAGTCCACGATGTGTCGGAACGATCAATTATGGCTCTTCACCAGGGCTTCGATCAGCTTCAGTATCGCCCGATCTTGAACTCTACCTGTCTTTCGCCGTGCACTCTTTCTGCTCCATTGCTGGAAGAGGGAATGGTTGTGACCGTGGAGCCAGGGCTTTATTTCTCTCCTCTGGCTATGGCCAACGCGCGCCACCAGCCATTTGCCAGGTACATTGATTTCGATGTTGCGGAAAAATATGTTCATATTGGTGGAGTGCGCATTGAAGATGATATTCTCGTGACTGCTACTGGGTACGAGAATCTCACCACTGCACCTAAAGGCGAGGAAATGCTTGCCATTATCAGAGGATCTGCGTAATGTAGAATTTATGTGATAAATAGCGGCATCCGGGAGACACTATCTATTTATATCAGAATCTGCAATAATCTAGACTATTTTACATCAGATGGAGACACTTAAGGAACTATATACATAGAATGTGACCAGCTCAGGATTTATAAGTACATTGTTTCCATGGGAAGTGATGACCCGCTCGAGTCTCACCAAAGGAACCCTCACACCGCCAGTTTCTGTAGACATTGGCGGACAAGTTAACGAGACGTCCAATATTGTCATCAGTTATACAAGACAAGACCATTGTACATGTAGGGCTGCTATCGCACTTGTGTCGTTATACGATATCAAGATACTGTCTATAGAAGATGCCCGGGTGCTTCTCGGGGTTGGTTTAAGAAAATATCAAGATTATAAAGACATGAACAATAATTTGCTCGTTGGTTTCTGTGGGTCAAACAAAGGGCAGCTCCACTTTGTGATGTATACTCCGTAGTCTTCAGCCTCCACACCTGTTTTGTATCGCCAACTGGCTCACCTTGACGATGGTGGAAGAGTTCAATGTTGTTGCTAAACCGACGAGGGGTAGTAGAAAGGACCTCAAGCAAGGCCATCTATAGTTTTACCTTGATTGCAGGAAGAGTTTGCGCCTTGGGAAGGGTCGGAGTTGAATTGTGTTTACTTCATCCTCTTGTTCGAGCGATGATCGAAGAAGAAGGCTATCTCTATTTTATTTGCCAATTTTAAGTGATTCATTACATTTCACAGTTGCCTAGAGTATGGCCGAGGGTCCCGACTTGAGCGGAGGTCTTTCGTATCCCGGCAATTGCTCGTACCCGCCCGAGATCCACTCACCTTGGATCTACATTCCCTTTATACATATCTGTTTGCGTTATTATCCCCTTTTATGTGATGACAATGAATCATTTATGATTGGTTTACATAGTACAAGCGGAAGGCTATAGTTAAGTGGGAAAAGGCAACGTTGAAGGATGGGCAAGACGTAAGAATGATAGGTATTGCGCCATGTTAGCATTCTCCCCTGAATGTCATGTAGTATAGGTCCGATTTGATGTGAATTGCAAATGTCTTTTGTTTATTGAGAATGACTAACAACGAGCGACTCCAAGCCGGTCTATAAAGGAAACGCTCATAAAAAAAAACTCCATGATGATTCCATGACTGCAACCGAGGCTGGAAAACAAAAAGTGTGAAGGAACCGTCTTGTCGCCAGCATTTATGTACATCCCATCTCGGTGATCGGTTTCGATTCGCGCTTCATTTATGTTCCAGCAGGGGCTTCTGTAGATTGAGCTGCTGCAGTACGCGGTAGTGTTCCTTTTTCAAGGCTTTGAACTCATCGTCTAGCTGGTGGTGCCACGGGTATAGGACGAAGACTTGGAATGCCAACGCTGAAGAGGCAACTCCGAAGTTGATGAGTGAGATTCCACGAGTGATCCACATGGCGGAGTAGACTGAAGACTGACTTGATCAGTAGTTGGGCTGAAAATGGGTAAATAGAAGACTTACAGTGAACTGAGGAGAAAGAACGTCGTTGTTATTCTTGATGGGTGTAACGCACCTAGGATGAGTTCTGAGGTGTTAAAGAGAGGAGGGCATTGAAGGAAAGATGAGTAAAAGGGGAAGTTGAAATTTCTCGTTCTTCGAATTCGCCTGGCACCTATAAAGGCGTGTCGATTTCGGCAGGAACCCCGATCAGTGGTCATGAATCAATCCCAAATATGGAAATAGTGGAGAAAAGTGGAGAAGGATCGTTGCGGCAGAATGTTTCACCGACCCAATTTCTTATCTGCCGGAGATCGTTCGTATCAGTCGGATCCGAAGAGATAACAACTTTAGAATATTCAACTCTTTATGTTTATTGACCCTTAAAACCTCCCGCAACCAACAGGAAATCCATCATAAGAAGTGAGTGATTTCTTAATTCTTGACATATAATCATACTAACAATTCCCTCCATAGGTCACCCTTCTCCCAGCCTCGAGACGACCCCCAAGTTGCAGACCCCCAAATACATCCAAACAATGGAATCCAATTACCAACAAAGTAAACCGCAACAACTGCTCAGTTGGGTAAGGGAACAGAAGTACAAGCTTGCTGGCGCTACGTTTGTTGCCAGTATGGTCGGTTCCTTTATTATGGTTGGTCGCAACCCGTACCTGACAAGCAAACAAAAGATTGTGCAGGCTCGTGTGTATGCACAGGGTCTAACGCTGGCTGTCATTGTTTCATTGGCTGCGCTTGACATGTCAGACCGAAAAAAACCATCTATTGCTCCACGGAAGGAAACTATCAAGCAGCCTGACTCAGAAAACTAAGGCCAGGAACTTCCAGAAGAGCTATCATTCAATCGGGACGGGAAGATATAGAGATTTCGATATGTATTGTACATTAAAGTTTATTATACTATAGACCGGTGGGAAATATGTATTTCTGCTAGTAATTGAAAAGCTGGATGCTACTCCACGATTCTGGACGTGACAGGGAATCAGCAAACGCGTCTAAAACAGCAATTTTCGGCAGTCGGTTTAGCGTCAATTATTCTTGTGGTGTAATAGTTTCATAACCCAGATGAGAGACGAAGGTCTAACAGACCAGTCACAAGCAAGTCTTAGAAAGCTTTAGGTACTTGTTCTCGATACTTAATCATACTTCGGAATTATGCATACCGTTAGATTTACGCGTCTCCAACTCATTGAAAGAGATTCAGCTCCCGTTTTTGATATCTGTGATATGCATATATGCGTAGATTTAGTACATTCGATACGAATTCATCAGTCTTGTGGCATGGTCGCTATGCTATTTCCTCGGACCGAGGTCCCTAGAAATCCCGGATATCTCTATCCATCCATGGCTTTTCGGTGTTACTAAGCACAGAAGGGCATGGGAATCCTATAACCGGGCAAGTTACATTCGCAGGTATGACAGGGGCTACATTCGTAAGAAATGAGCTAATGAGGCTCCGAAAAAAGAAGAGGTTCGAAGGTTCGTGAGAAGCGTAAAGCAACATGTGAAAAGTAAGCTCCCATTCAAGGATTTGCACGTGCCAACGATGAGAGGAGAGAGTTTTGCTAGTCGAGCCTACTATGTAGGCCGGCCATCTACCAAAAGAGCTCATTCAACATATCCGATGTATCCCTCGGATCCTCTCGTTTGCAACTATCCGCTTCACAGGGTGATCTCCCGTTTCAGGCGGTTCAGTCCAAGTCTTCGCTCTCCGGCATTGCAACAGTTTATATAGTGAGGCATGGACTTGCCGTTTAAGGTCAAGTAACTGGTCATCATCAGCGTAAAGACATCAACGACTAGCAAGAGGATAAGAACATCGAATACTGCGCCGTTTCGAAAAAGGAAATATTGCCAGAACCACCTAAAGTTATAAACTAGACCTTACACCCTGTTATTTATTTTGTCTCATTATTGGTCACTTTCTGCATGTTTTTAACAATATTCTGCTCCTCTTGCCACCCCAAGTATACGAAGCAGCCCTGTCCTTTGCCTTTTTAGTCCATCGATCTCGAGGGATAAAGGATATGCACAATCAGAAAGGGTAATCATTCTAATGTTCTCAAAGACATTGACTGGGCCTCTCACAGTTTGCCACTTTGTTGACTTGCAGGGTATACCTGATTGGGAAGTTGCAAAACATCCTCCCGGCTGAGTGGCTCACTGACATTCAAATCAAGAATGAACCATCTTTTAAGAGGCTTGAGTGAGTCGCAGTCAGCAGGAATATAGATATGGTCGTATTTTGCCGGATGAAGTGTAGGATTGAATACATGTTTCAGGACAATGTCACAGAAATCTTCCCCAATTTTGACATGGCGTCGATGGGGGCAACCATCTATATCGACAACGCAGGCGCGAATGACTATTCTTGCGGGAGCGGAGTCCATAGTAATAGTGAATAATAATACGATGAGAAACACTGTTTTCAGTCGAGGTTGTGCTTTAAATGAATTGGCCACGAGATTGAACGGTCATATACCTCGGTTCTTACATAGTAAGGTGGGATATCTTTTGGTAGTGGGGAATATGGTACCTTTAGACTAAACTAGGAGCTAGCTATGTAGCGACGGGATGAGGGGCCGGATGCCCCTTGGCTAGTGGGTTGATGTGGCTAGTAGAGTTTGGCTAACAACAGCAGCCTCCAGCTAGTCGACGACAGTCCTTATGTATAGTTATAAATGGAAAAGTCCTCTACATAGTTCATGCTTTTCACTGTCTTCATGAAGAGGACAGCATACGTGTAAATCCTTGCTTGAAACATGGAGGGAAGGAGCGCCAGCTGACGGAATCACGGATTAAAAACACAGCTTCAAGGCTATGGCTACGAATAGCTTGATACAAATGGACAAGCTTTGGGAGATTTTATGTATGTGATATCTGTACATGAGTACATCATGGTCTTGATCCATATCATCTTAGTATACTTGACTCACGTGGCTGGAATTATCAATATTTTCCAGATAAAGGGGTTGTTAACTGTGAATGGCCAGAAAAGACCACATGAAATACAACGATAGGAATAATGGGCAACATGTTTATAGATTCGATCAAGGGCAACAAAAGGCTGAAATAGGTATATTGAGAGTATTGCCCTGGAACTATATGGGTAAATGTAACCGTGAATAAGCGACGCCGATGATTGGATTTATGTCATCGGCGCCGATGTCGGACTTGGTGGGGTTGAACCTGAAATTCACCCGCCTTTATATTCTGAAGCTGCCAACCTGGATAATTGAGTCAATCATTTTTCTTCATATTACTACATAATGTCTTCCTTCAACATCGTCGTCTTTGGTGGTGACCACTGTGGTCCCGAGGTATGTCATTGAGAGCTCTTGTGGGGAAATTGAATACAGGGCTGACATTTAGAGAATAGGTGACCGCTGAGGCTGTCAAGGTAAAATTGCAAGCTGGAATTGCGCGGAATGCACGTGCTGATTGAATTTCAGATCCTCCGGGTCATTGAGAAGTCCCGTGGTATTACTTTCAACCTTCAGGATCACCTGCTCGGTGGTGTGAGTATACCCCACACACGCGACGAAAGCTCAATGGCTAACAATCACAGGCCTCTATTGACGCTACCGGTTCGCCCCTGACTGACGAGGCCTTGAACGCCGCTAAGAACGCCGATGCCGTTCTCCTCGGTGCCATTGGAGGTCCCGTACGTTTATATTCCCAACCCCTCCATTCCCTCCCACCCCGCACAAACACCAAAAACCAGCCTACTCACACATTGCATCCAATAGAAATGGGGAACTGGCGCCGTGCGCCCAGAGCAGGGTATCCTCAAGCTCCGCAAGGAGATGGGCACATTCGGTAACCTGCGGCCCTGCAACTTCGCGGCCCCCTCGCTGGTCGAGAGCTCCCCCTTAAGGCCGATATTTGCCGCGGTGTCGACTTCAACATCATCCGTGAGCTGACGGGCGGTATCTACTTCGGAGAGCGCACGGAGGATGATGGTTCCGGATACGCCATGGACACCGAGCCTTACTCCCGTCACGAGATCGAGCGTATCATCCGTCTCGCCGCCAACCTCGCTCTGCAGCACAACCCGCCCCTGCCCGTCTGGAGCTTGGACAAGGCCAACGTCCTCGCTACCAGCCGTCTGTGGCGTAAGGTCGTCACCGAGGTTATGGAGAAGGAATACCCTCAGGTCTCCTTTGGTCACCACCTCATTGACTCCGCTGCTATGCTCATGATCAAGGACCCCCGTAAGCTGAACGGCATCGTTGTTACTAGCAACTTGTTCGGTGATATCATCAGCGATGAGGCTAGTGTTATCCCCGGTTCTCTGGGTCTCCTTCCCAGTGCCAGTCTGAGCGGTATTCCTGATGGCAAGAGCCGTGTCAACGGTATCTACGAGCCTATTCACGGTATGTATTTATGTCCTATTTATTACTTTCTGCCATTCTTGGTTCTGGACATCGCTAATTGGTATTCGAAGGCTCCGCCCCCGATATTGCCGGCAAGGGTATCGTTAACCCCGTCGCCACTATCCTGTCTATTGCCATGATGATGCAGTACTCCTTCAACATGATCGATGTGGCTCGCCTGATTGAGCAGGCTGTGAGCAACGTCATCGAGGCTGGTGTCCGCACCGGCGACATTGGCGGCACAGCCAAGACTACCGAGGTCGGTGATGCCGTGGCCGCCGAGCTGGAGAAGCTGCTCAAGTAGATGTAAGGTAGCCTCTTCGATGTTTCTATATGAGATATGACTAGCATAAAAAACTAAAAATTCGAATACCCGTTTTAAGATGCAACATGTATTTCACTAGCGCAAAAATCCCTAATGATGTTCACTCGCCGACCCAAACCCATGCAAAAAAAATTGAAACTGGGTATCATGTAGACATCGTAACTCCGATAATAAAACCTCCATTGGCATTTGCAAGCCAATCAACGCCGATATTTTTGTTGGTCCTTGTAAAAATCCCCCTGCTTATCGAATCACCGGCTCACCCATCCAATCCGGCTCATCTAGACCGGTTATAGTAAGACCAGGATCAGCATCTTCACTCGCAGTACGTCCCCGAAGATCATAGGCCCCACGCAGAGACGGGCGACGGCGCTGAGCATCAGCAGAAGCCGAGGGAGCAGCGGTAATCCGACGGCGACTGTCATCACAAGCAAATACCTGGAACCCACGAACATGAGTATCCTTGCCGTTCTGATGGTTCTCCATAATGCGCATCTGGATAACCATAGCCTTCAGCACATTCCCAGAATAGGGATCATCCTCATCATCCTGACTGTCAGGCTCATCAATCTCATAAAACGGATCACACTCATCATCATGTTCGTGGTCAGGGTCATCACAGTTCCGGTACACAATTGTCCGCCGACGCATGCTCGTAGATCGGCGTTTTGACTTCCCGGGGTCATTGCACACCCACCCGCCGTTTCTACCGCCGACACCCTCCAGTGGCACATCGACCCAGCCGCATGGTCCGTCACCTTCCCAAGTTGCGAACTCGACGAGGTCGTTGCCACCCATCCCGGCTGCGAAAACCATCTTCGTAGGGGTGTAACTTTCGTCCAGCTCGAAATCAAGATATACGCGGATACGCACGACAGCTACCAGTTTGAAGAAGTGGAGGGTTAAGGTGTGCGGTTGTGGTCCGTCGGATTGCCAGTATTGTGCTGGGGAAGGGTTGCGGAGGGCCGCGACGCCGCATCCCGGCTTGGAGGTGGAAACGGTCCAGGAAGCGAGCGATGAGATCTCGCGTAAGTTGGGTGGTAAGGGGGAGGGTGATTTTTCTGTAGCACAAGGACATTAGCTCAAAATCTGGAATTGTAGCCACAAGTAAAGTATGGGAGCTGGAATCAGTACCTCGATCATGCATCTCTTGGTCGGGGTCCTCTTCGTCGCCGAATTGGTCCTCGACTTCTTCCTCCAGTTCCTCGCCATCAATATCGGAGTCATCAAATTGCCCTTCAATGGCCTGACCATTATCGAAAGAATCATCGAAGTCGAGTGGTCCGTCGTTGCTAAGCTCTTGCATGCTGTGCCCGCGCGGGTCGAAATCATCGTCGAAGTCGTCGTGATCCATCATTTGCGGTGGTAGCTGCTCTACTCGTGGTCTTCCAAATATTGTGAAAGGATTTATTGGTGCTGCTGGATGCCCTGCCACGGCGACTGGGTCGGGGGTGAGGGCATTTGGACCGGTGGAGGGGGTTGTTGTCGATGGGTTGGGTTGGTGGGAGTGTGACGCGTTGGCGGGGTTTGGAACTGTGCTCGGAGGTTCCCTGGGGCATTGGAGTCTTGATTAGGTATTATGTCGCGTGGATTCGGTTGTCGGCGCAAGTGAGGCATGGTTGTTCCCATAAGTTGCAGGAGTTGGTGTTTGCGCGCAGATCGGGGGAAGCTTCATTTCCTTTTACGGTTAGCGCCGTTTAGAACCTATAAGGGCAACAGCGTATTGAATACATCCAAATGTTTGAATATTCCCAATAATAAATTCATTTATAACAAGTTTTGCCATGCGAGATCCATGGGAATTAAGGTATTTGCTGTGTCGATGCCTTTATTTACAGTTTGCAGTTTGATCTGTGCTATTAAGTGTCCACGGATTTGCACTATATGCATAGTGCGCTACTACCTACATCACCTGTGAGTTTGTGTAGCAATTACCTACCAATAGATTAAAAAGCCGATGTACGCCAATCACCTACCTATATTCTTCAATGCATCTACCCTCGAGCGATGCATTTCAAATTATAAGAAGCTTCTATGAAATCCTCCACCGTCAGCGGATTGACTAAGGGGTTCAGGGATTATATACACATGCGGAAAATCCAGATAAGTATTCTTTGGTGACAGCCTTTGATAGCTAATTTCTGTGGCCTCTTCTAAGGGGTGTTCTGGCCTGGCGAGGATGAAAGCGGTCAGCTTAATCCCAAAGGGGAAAAAGATGCGAGCAATAAACTGTCTTGGGTCTTCAAATGTTATGTGAGTTTTATAATTTAGACTTGTCCTGCTTTGCTTCCTTATTATCACTCTTCCAGCTAGGAGATACAAGGTGATATATATAAAAAGAATGTCTTGAGAGTCCACCCAGTTGCACCTGTACAGTGCAACCCTGACCCCCTGGGGTATGGATATGCCCTTCAAATAATATACCTCTAACTGATCTAGACCTACATATGTAGTCTTAACCAATATCTCAATACGATACTAGGGCGCGTGGTCCACTTGGCAACCAACCAGGGATCGCGATAAGACACAAGTTGAAGACAAATCCAAGGGCAGTGTATTACTGGCAAATCGGTATCCATTATAGCTCTCGATATTCACATATGCCAAGTTCCATTCCAACGCGTTCATAAATCGATGTGTAGCATTTCAAAGTAGAGGTATCTAGCAGCAGCACTCGCAGCATTCGAAGCAAGCGATACCAGCGCAGCTGTTGTAAAAATGTCAGCCAATATTCCTCATTCTGCTTACTTGAGTAAGGCACCGCGATAGCCTTTGAAGACTCACATTCCACAGCAGATATCACCACCCTCACCGCCACCACGGAGTTCCATCTTCATGGACTCGGAGCACTAGAGGATCAATTAGTTGTGACCTCAGCAAATGATAATGGGAGAGCATACGGGCTGCTCGGAGACAACGTTGTTGGAAGACATGGCTTCGGCGCTGGAGGGCTGTTCCATGGTCATGGTAGCCGCATTCCAGGTAGGTTCCTGGGTGGGCTTGGACTCGTTGGAAGACTTGAACCAGCCGAACATTTTGGCGGATAATATGAAGAAAAGAGGGGGAGATGGTCGAAGAAGATGAGAGTGGAGAGATGAAAGATGGTCGAAGAAGATGAGAGGGGAAAGATGAAAGATAAAGGGGAAAGTAAATAAGCCGGGGTCAGCCGTGTGTTTTATTGAAATGAAACATACGGAATAGTATTAGTATCAAAAGTCCTTTTTCACTACTCCGTACATAGTAATAGTACGGAGTACTCCGTACAGTCCAGACCAGGCAATTCGACACAACGCAGGCAGCCATATTATTGGGCCTGTGGGGCTGAGGGCTGAGGTCGGCACAAATAGGTAACTGTGTGTTGGCATCCTGAAGAGAGGCTATTAGTTAAATCAAATATCTCAGCTCCTTGCTATTGACTATCTACAGAAATCGAGGCAGAAACAGAAAAGCCATGTGGAAAGTATGGAAGTTCACGTGGAATCGAACGGGAAACTTGGAAAGAAGACCTCGGGAAACACCAAGCTTTTAGTCAAGCTTTGCGAGATCTTGGCACATTTTCCCCTTTTCAGCCCTATTTCTTTTATGACGTCTGCTTCCAAAGTTCTCATTATGGATTATAAAAAGGGTATTCTATTGAATTTCTATCTAAATAGGACATTGGGATCTATTAAATTCAAAAACACACTCAAGCACAGACCGAAATAAACCGAGATAACCGAAAACTAACCGAGATAATCAAAAACCTCAACATTCACCCTCAGTTCTTACCTTGAATAGAATCAATAGTCCCCTGTAAACTCTCCGGAGCATCATATTTGTCCATATGCAGCTCAACAATACGTAACAGAGGAGGATTTTTCTCGTCATAATGCTCAGCGGGACCAAAAGATGGATCGTCGAGCAGCATACTCAATTCGGCCCTAGTCCGAACAGCATAAGTGCGAGCAGTATTCGGAGCGGCCTGGAAAACAGCCGGCAAAAGCTTAAAGTCCCATGGCTGGATATCGTTATACTCTGCGTCCATGCCATGAATTATGCGCTCTATCGTGTAACCTTCATTGCAGATAATGAAAATAATAATTCCCAGTTTGCGGCGGACCATGGTGCTAACTTCTTGTGCGGTCAGTTGGAAACTGCCGTCGCCCGTTAAGCAGATAGTCCGTCGGCACCGAGCGCCCTGGCCCTGCTTCTCATCTTCCCGCGCAGCGAGGGCCGCGCCCACTGCTGCCCCGACGGCATATCCAATTGAAGACCAAACGAATTGCGTTAGTGGAATTGCTCCGCGCGGGTATCGAGTCCATATTGTGCCATATGCAGCAGTTCCGATGTCTGCGGATATGATGTCGTCTTCTTCGAGCCAAGAAGAAATCCGTGGCCAGATCCACTCTTGGGTTAATGGCTGAGACTTGTCGAGAATATTACCCTCAAAATCCATAAACTCATCGCCGTCCAAACTTTCTTTCGGCGAGTTGGAGGGTGAAATGGTTCCATATATATCGGGTGTACCATTAAGCTTGTGGGGTGGTGTGGAGGCCGTAGAGGCCGTGGAGACAGAGCCTGGCTGTTCTTTCTCAAGGGCGTTGCTGAGCCTTTCGAGCACAGACTTCATACCAAGGTCCAGAATCCCTTGGTATTGCATTTGAATTCTGTGAGGTTCGAATTTGATGGTCTCAATGTGAGGCAAATCAGTCTTGAATCCGGCTGTGCTAAAATCCGTTGGACGTGGTCCAAGCACTAGGATTAAATCGGAGGACAGAACTTGTTCGAAAACGGTAGGTTCCGAGATCTTTCCTACGTACAAGCCGCGAAAGTTTATCAAGGTCTCGTCGATGATACCCTTGGCCATTGGTGTAGTGAAGCAAGGCAGTCCCGAGCTTTCCACGAATAGCCTCGTTGTGTTCAAGCTGTCTGGCTTTCCGGCCAGACTCTCAACAATTATAATCGGATTCCGAGCCGCCCTAATGCGGCCAAGAATCAGATCCACGCCATAATCCTCATCCGCTGTCGGATTGGGGCTGGGTTCTTCGAGACCCAGGGGACATTCAAGCGGGGATGGATCTACATCTGCCTCGACAAGATCCACTGGGAAGCCAATATAGACAGGCTTGCTGGAACGGCAGCACTCGATAATTGTTTCGTCGATGAGTCTAGTCGCATCTGATTTGTCTTCCAGAACAACCACAGCGCTCGAGATTTCGGCACTCATTCTGGCAAATCGCCTAAAGTCGCCATCTGCCAGAGTGTGGTGCATCGGGAGTCGCTTTTTCTGTACAATTGTTGAGGGATACCCGACGATGTGGATGACTGGTACAAGCTCGGCGCATGCGCCTGCTAGGGCATTGATGGCTGAAAGCTCCCCAACACCCAATGTAGTCATGATTACCCCTATCCCTTTGATGCGGGCATAGCCATCGGCCGCATAACCTATGGGTGCAAAATAATAAGATCCCTGTGTTTCGGTCGAGTGGAAAGTACCGTTCATCAACTTACCGCCATTGAGTTCGTTCACGTTACCGACCCAGTTGAGACCACATGGAGTAATGTAGTCAAGGGATTTTAGATTGTAATCGCCGGGGACGCCAAAGATGGAACGAATTCCAAGTTCATGAATGCGGCGGAAAAGATACTACGATGGAAGTAAATGTGTTAGCTATATATCAATAAACATGGTCTGCATATAGGTCTGCATATAGTTTTTCATACTTCAGCAAGATGCATAGTGGCGTCGAAATTAACACTTCGAGTATAATTTCAGTGTCGGATGCTTGTTTGAAATGAATTTCCAGACTCTGGTGGAATGTAGAATATTTTCCACTGATGGTCTGTCCCAGGCTTTTATCATATCCTCATCAACCACAATCAAGACACATTGCGCCATCATGATACTACTAAAACTTGATCTCCCAACGCTTGATTGTGTTTCCTTTTACTAACAGCCAGTAAAATACCCATTAACAATATTTATCATGCTCGGCGGGGTCTTCATGTGTATAGCACGCCCAAAGCGTGCCTACAGATTACTGGAAAGAGAGTCATACGCAAGATCGGCATAGCTGTGCTACCCCATCGAAACAAGATCGAAGGCGAACAGTCCCCTCAAGGTACAGATTCCAGTGTAGATAACGTATCAAGAACTCATGGTTCGCCATTCTTACTATCTTTCTTGTTGGAATTCTTGCTCGCATGTTCTGTGAGCATGGTGTAACCACGATTAAACCCGAACAGATCACAATCTCCTGAGTATATCATGAGTGGTAATGCTGTGTAACAATGGATATAATCGAATACATGCTTTAAGGACACGTCTAAATATTCTAGGTCACCACCTCAAGTCCCGGAGCCGTGAGTAACCTTTATAACCGGATTTATGTATACTGTTGTGTACCAACCTTCAATTGATCAATCGAAGATTATGCATGAGAAAAGTTTACAATCTTAGTAAGCTCTACTACTTAAACCCGGGATGAAATGATAGCGGGTGTTGAATCCTAGCAAATCAGATGTTCTGCAATTTATAGGATTGGCTTAGAAATACGAATATGCGTAGGTAAAGGCTACCATATGGAATAACACTTTAAATTGGGTTATACCCCTACATACTACGACACTTATCGATCTTCGCTATTAAACACAAAACTATCCAGGCGGCCATCCTTCGTTTCGTCTCAAATGGGCTCCCCCTGCGTACCAATGGGAACGTATTTTTGGCCTTCCAAAGGTTCTCGGAATGTAATTGAAAGAGGAAAAGAAAATTCACATTTTAGGATTTTGTAATGGGCTGGCCAATTTCGTTGTTATATACCACCACCACCTCCGACCAAAATATTCATTCATTCCAGAATGTCATTAAATCCCTCAATTAATTGCCCTTCTGTGTGCTAAAATAGGCTACAGTGCATGCCGTCTGAGCGACCAGATAATGCTCATGTTCCACCAGCCGCCGGTGATACACACCTGTAAGAGCAGCCCATCCAGCGTCGCAAGGAAATACGCACTGAAGGAGACCCCTACGCCTGCGCCAACTGAAATTACCCAGATCTTGTTTGTGCACCCGGTTTAGAAAGATATGTCATTGTAGTAACTATCCTCAGTGCAGCATGGACCGTTGATTATACATGTATCCTTGGGCGCTTGGTTTGTTTTGCTCAACGCGTAACATGTACTCTCTTCTTCGGATGGGTTGCGTGGCTCTACACGTGAAGTCATAAGTTATGTGGGATCAAAGGAAGAGGTAGGGGGGTAATACTGAAATGGATGTTTGCCCACAGATGTACAGGAGTCCTGTTTGTAGTGGTGGCCTGAGGCCAGCTCCCTTCCGTTTGTAGGTCCTTCTTTCCCTGTAAATATAGAGTTTCTCTTCTTCTCTCGTCCAGATAGCAACAGTGCAAATAACAGTTCTATCTTTCACTCCCTTGGTGTTCTATCAACCCATGGAGTCGACCCAACGAGTAGACTTAACGAATCAGTGACATATTAGGTATGCAGTTATGTTTTCTTTTTAAGGTTCAAGTCAACTGATATTTCCATGTCTTCTATTACCAGGAAACCAAATCCATCAAATGCCGGACCTCAAGGCATCCACCGGGGGGCTGGAGGAGATTTCTCCTCGCAGCCTGGACTCCTCCAATCCAGCAGAAGCAATCATTACCGATGTAAAGCACCTGGCATCTTATAACTGGATCGAAGCACCTGAACCAACCATCGCTGTCCCCGGCAGTCCGGCACTCTGGTCTGCTCCACAAGGCTCTCGGCAAATTAAAAAAAGACAGCGGTTTTGTTTATATTGTTCAGAATGCTGCTCGTCATCCAAATAGCCCTCTAGAGCCGTTATTCCGCGCCCTCTACATTGAGCAACCCTCGTTTGAGATTGATTCAATCGATGTCGTAACTGACCGAAACAACGTTCGCAAACTTCTGTCGTTCGTTAATCCCACTCAAAGCAGATACGGTCTTGATTCATTCACGATCCAGGTGGATATGACTGCTTAGACCGCAATCTTCTGTCATGCAGAGACAGCCACATATGAAATCATTGGACCATCCGAATTCCGGGGCTTTGGGCATGAATTCGAGAAATCATACACGATCAACCAGGCCATGAATAGCACTGGGCACTATCGCATAAAATCGTACTGACTCGGTGGTTTGAGTTTCCTTGTGCGTCATGAGACCGACGGCTATGTCAGTGATTCTAAGCCCAGTGTAAAGGACGACTCGTCGACAGGAGACAATCTTGCTGAAATCTTACATTCATTGTCTCTTACGTCGGAAACTACCCCCACGGTCCAGGCCTCGGTCAAATCCAAACTGACCATCAAGAGGGAAGGCCAGGTTGTATCAAGGGAACCAACATTAGAGATCAACACTCGAGATTTTCACAAGCCTCTGGAGCTGTCAGAAGTCGCGCCTCAACTCTGGATTTCTCAGACGCCCAACCTCGTTCGTGCATATCATCAACGTGGAATATTCTCGAGGCCAGAAGTGGAAGATGTCACTACGGCAATGAAAGACTGGGGGAAAAGCAACCAAGATGATATCAAGAAACTCATTGCACTCGTCAATCGCATCTTACGAGTAACTAGAAACTGGGGTGGGATTTCTATCATCCGTTACCCATTAAGTCGAACTTTGAAGATCTCCACATCTCCCCACTTTCTTATTTCCTTATGTAGCCGATCAATCAGCTCTGCGGTTCTCTATTTGATTTGTAGGGTATTAGTTGAAATATTGAGGTCACACATATACATCATAATGCTTGGCTCTAGATCGTCTCGGCCAACACTGCGCCGACGGTGGGTCATTGGGGACACTACATTGGATACTTATAAAGAGGGGTTGTCCCTGGTCCCATCATCCTTTTGAAACCTCGACCACTACACAAAATATCCAATATGTCTATGAGCATTGAAGACTGCGCTCAAAGCCGGGAGGGCTTTCCTCGTCCATTCCCGGATACACCTACAAATGTTTTGGAGCAGTTCAAAATGAACGGAAAGGTGGTGGTTGTTACGGGGGCTGCCGATGGACTTGGTCATGCGATAGCACAGTCTATGGCCGAAGCTGGCGCTCATGTTGCCTTATGGTATAATTCGTAGGTTTTCCTTCATTCAATATATATCTTACGTGTACTTGGTTAACCATGTTAACAGAAATGACGTCGCTATTGAGAAAGCCCAGGTCCTGGTAAAGGAACATGGTATAAAGGCTTTCGCTTACAAGGTTGATGGTAAACGGAGCTTAATGCCCATAAAGAAGGTACCAAAATGCTAAGCTTTGACCTACAGTTTCGGAGTCCATTCAAGTATCCCAAACGATAACAAAGGTCGTGACAGATTTCGGCAAGATTGATGTGTTCATTGCCAATGCAGGTTAGTTTCTCGCGACGATTTTGATGTATGGCAGCAAGCTGATTTAGAGAAGGAATGGCGATCTCGAAGCCTATCTTGGAACAGACTCTAGAAGAGTACCGGAAGCAGATGTCCGTGAATGGTATGAAATCCGTTCTTTTTTAATAAAATAAAGGATTGTGGTATTAACCGAGAATTAGTTGACGGCATTGTGTATTGTGCTAAATATGCCGGCGAGGTATTCGCACAGCAAGGACATGGTAATCTCATTATTACCTCGAGTATGAGCGCACACATTGTCAACGTTCCTACGGACCAGCCTGTCTACAACGCGACCAAAGCGTATGTCACTCACTTTGGAAAATCACTTGCCCGTGAGTGGCGGGATTTTGCGAGAGTCAACATCGTCTCCCCAGGCTTCTTCGATACAAAGATGGGGGCCGGCCCCTCAGCCCTCCAGGAGGCATATCGCATGTCGTCACTTGGAAGGCAAGGCCACGTGAAGGAAATCAAGGGATTGTATCTGTACCTCGCCAGTGATGCATCTAGCTTTATGACCGGAAGTGATGTACTTATCGACGGTGGGTATGTCTTGCCATGAATGTTGGGACACGTTGGATGATAAGATTCAGACGCTCGAATCAAATCAATTTGGAATGAGAATATCAATCACAATTTAAATGACGACACTGTTCCAACGAAATAATTCGCAATGAAGTTTCGGTAAAGGCGAATTCAATGTCGGGCTCGGACCTCGATGAGACACTCTGTGCCCGAAGGCGTTTTGCCCCGCTATGTCAAGCCGTCTGTTTCCAGGTACAATTTCGATACCTTCATCTGTTTGATCGCAATCGTAGCGATACCTAGGTATACTGAGCGCGGCGTACTATGTATAGCAAAGTAGGTTGACCAATCGAACCTTATCTCATCCCGGGTCGAAGGAACAAGCTCCAGGTTAAGCTGTTTCCCCAACTTGGAAACAAGGCTCCGAGTTCTGTCGGCCCCGAGGGATGGAACCGCTTATCCGAGCCAACAAGCGGCCATGCCGGGGAGAACAGTGGAGTAAGATGAGTCAACGACTCGCAATGAGGCGCAGGGTCAGTACGGCCCAGAGTACTGGATTAGCACAATTATCTTTAAGGGTACTTTGGCTTCCAATGCCGTTCCACGGCTGGGGTTATCAGACCCGGGAAACGTCTTGGCATGGTCTTTCGAACGGGCGTCAAAAGACATAGAAAACCTGATAAACAATGACAGGGATCCAGGCTGTCGTCAGCTACACAGGAATGTCATATCAAATGATGAAGCCACTTTTTTAGTCGAAACACGGCAGACGAAGGGGATAACACGGAGAAAACCTGCTTTTGGTTGATTGGCGTTATGTGATTGGCTGGTGCAGCGGCCCGGTTGAAGATTGAATTCCCTCACTACACATAATAATGGAGAGAGAAAGCAAGTATAGATATTAGAATGGAATTAAATAGAAGAAAGCAATCATCTATAGATACCAAGAGACATATGTACATATGTACATATAGAGATAGATAGAAAGAAAAAAAGACCGAATATATCAGAAAATACCAGAAAATACCAGAAATATACAATACAACGTACTGAAATCGGTTTTCCCCACGTTCTATCGCGGCCCGAAGTGACTTCACATTGCGATTTCACCTATTTCTCTGCCCCTCCTTTCTCCCTCCGCTAGATCACCCTTTTTCGCTTTCGCTTGTCGTCTTTGATTTTGCTTTGCTTTTTTTTTTCATCATAGCGCTGCCACCCAGTGCAGCCAAGTCCAAAACGGCATAATTACAGCAATCACACCGGCCATTGGTGTCGGCTCAACTTCCCCGATAGCCCACCTTCATCTCGCCATGGCTGATGAACGAGACTTCGCCCCCGAGGATGTCGCGCCTGAAGCCGATGCTCCCTCCCCTAGCGATCCCAAGGCTCCTCCTTTGTTTCCTCGACAGACCTCTAGCCCCGTTGTCCTTCCTTCCCGCGAATCTTCGGGAACTGGGTTATCTGCCTCATCTACACACCTAGGTCAGGTCAATGCTGCGCGACGGGGTGTTGGGACTTCGCCACACCCCAAGCCATCGATGAGTGCACAAGGGACTGGATTAAATCAAGACATTATGGCAAAAATGAAGGCATTCTCATTATCCCGCCAAGGTGCTCCGCAGCCACATACTGCTGCATCGACGGGGCATATTCCCATGGCTCAAGGAAGCAGTGCAGGTGGCGCACTTGCTGTTGGCATGCCTCCCGGTGCTGCACGACCCAGTCCTCAAAATTGGCCATCTTCCTCTTCCGTCCCCGCCACTGGCCCTGGCACTTTGTCGCCTAGGCCGGGAGGGATAGGAGCGAAGCGCGCAAAGCCAGGTCTCAAGCTATCGGATATCACCGGTCCTCCCAATTCTGCAGCAGGTACGGATCAAAAGCAGGGCGAACCAAATGGGGAGTCTGCTTTCAGCAAATACTCCGAGTTCATCGACACGAAAGAGGGCACTCTGAACTTCAAAAACAAAGCTCTGCTACATGGAGGTGGTGTCGAATTCTCGTCAGGTCACAGCTTCAAGATATCTCTGGATGAGGTTGATCGCTTGGACGAACTGGGCAAGGGTAATTATGGAACGGTCTATAAGGTTCGACACTCTCGCCCGCATCTACGAAAGCCAGGTCTCGGGTTGGGTGGCATTGTCAGTCGTCCTCTAGGCCACGATGAACCGAGTCCAGATTCGGGGTCGAATGAACTCTCAGGCGTGGTCATGGCCATGAAGGAAATTCGCTTGGAATTGGACGAAGCCAAGTTTGCACAAATCATTATGGAGTTGGACATTCTACACCGCTGTGTATCTCCATTCATCATCGATTTCTACGGAGCCTTTTTCCAGGAAGGTGCCGTCTATATGTGTGTCGAGTTCATGGATGGCGGCTCGATTGACAAGCTCTACGAAGGGGGTGTTCCCGAGAACATTCTGCGGAAGGTGGCTCTGTCCACCATCATGGGATTGAAATCACTGAAGGAGGACCACAATATTATTCACCGCGATGTGAAGCCAACCAATGTCCTTGTCAACAGCAAGGGTCAAGTCAAGATCTGCGACTTTGGTGTCAGCGGAAATCTGGTCTCCAGTATTGCGAAGACCAATATTGGTTGCCAGAGTTATATGGCACCTGAACGAATCGCGGGAGGCGGAATGCAACAGTCGGGGGCGCCGAGTGCCGGTACATACAGCGTGCAGAGCGATGTTTGGAGTTTAGGTTTATCCATCATTGAATGCGCTATGGGCCGATACCCATACCCACCGGAAACATTCAACAACATTTTCAGCCAGCTACATGTAAGTTACCCTGACAACAGTTTTTGAAGTTCAGCATTCTTACCTTCTCCGTTTTAGGCTATCGTCCATGGAGATCCTCCAACACTACCCGAGGGATTCTCTGAAGAAGCGCACGCATTCGTCCGGGCCTGTCTCGATAAGAATCCGAAAAACCGACCAACTTACAACATGCTACTCCGACACCCTTGGCTAGCCCCTCTCATGCAGCCACCAACCGAATCAGGTGGTGACAGTGCCTCACCACCCGAGGAGCCCGGCTCCGGCGATGCCGCCTCATCCACTATCACGGAGGATGAAGAAGTGGCCGAGTGGGTGAAAAAGCAAATGAAGCTTAAGGAAGATGGCCTGCTACATAGTTCCGAGAAACCAGCACTTCACGCCGTCGCGCTGGATCAGGTCGGCACAGGCTCTTCCGGGGGTGATCCTCAGACCCTGTCACAAAATGACTGAGATTGCCACCAGCTATTTCGAATATTGCATCCTCCTTTTCTCCGGGGGCACTTTCACGGCGCAGGCGCCGTTTACCACGACTTGCATCTCTATTGATTCCACCAGGCCGATACGCCAATGTTCTGACGTTTGGGGTCCTTTTGGAGCGTGGTCAGACCGCCGGCATGGTCATTACCCACGTGTGATTTGAGACTACTTCAACAAATCTCCATTTGGATCTACGAGCATTTGGTTTTCTGAATGAACTGGGGATAATTTACTGCACCCGGCCTTCGCATGATCCGGCGCAAGGAACACATTTTCATACATGTTACCTGATGTTTCGGAATTTCCTACATTTGAACTGCATGTGTGACTTTTCCCGTGCCTCCGACGCAAGTGCTCTACTTGGCCTTGTAAAGCATTCTGGTTAGGGGTATTATTTTTGTAGATGCAGTTACTGTAGTCTATCAGTCTTCCAATTGAAACGATTCCATTTTAATGCTTTGCTAGTAAGCTGTTCATAAGTACATATCAAAAGTTATGTTGAATACGGACCATACATATATACATACCCCCGAGGTTCTTGTTGCTGTTGAAACTGGCAAAGAACTCATCTCTCAAGCAGAATCACCATTTTCAAGCCTCTCCCCAAACCTCATCCGCAATTTCCCTCACCAGACTCAACTTCTTCTTCTGGTGCTCAACAAGAAGAGGATATCCACTCTCGTGAGTGCTAAACCCACATTGAGGACTGATGCAAACCCTCTTGAGCGCCTCCTCCCTAGTCTCCCCAGACCCTTCAGCAACAAAATCAGCAGCCGAGTAAACACGCTGCTTCATAGCCTCCTTGTCTTCCAAATCACGCAACTTGGTACTGATAATTCCAACCACAACATTCTTGTTCTTCGGCAAGAACCTCAGTGGCTCAAAGCCCCCAGCCCGCTCAGTGTCATACTCCAAATAGAAGGTATCAACATCCAAGTCCTCAAACAACTTCTTTGCAATAATATCATACGATCCCTCAGAGAAGTGTCGCCCACCAATAAAATTTCCCCGACAAAGATGAATACCCGTATGCATATCAGCAGGCAATCCAACAAGCGAATCATTGTACAGCTTAATATAAGCATCCAACAAATCCTCCACAGATCCCTCATTATCAGGATCCGCCTCCCAGCCCTCCCGGAACGCCGTAGAGCAGAAATAAGCCATACCAGGATCATCAAACTGCACGTTCCGCAGACCGGCCGCATACAGCGACGCCAGCTCGGCACGATACACCTTCGCAACGTCGGCGAAGTACTCGGCGTCATTGGAATAGGCATCAGCCGTGTACGCACGTCCTTGCTTGTAGCGCATGTGGAACCACGCGGGCGTGATCATCGTCAGCTTGATATTGGCCCATTCGCTCTGCGGCAACGACGCCTGCACCAGACGCAGTTCGTGCAGGTTGGACTTTGAGGTTGAGGTGCTGTGGGATAGCTTGCTGGCTGCGATCACGGAGTCGCCAGGCATCACTTTGTGGTCCTTTTCGATCAGGCTCACCACGTCTGGGTGGTAGAGTCTGAACATTGAGGCTTCGGCGTTTTGGAGACGGATTGTTCCTGGGGAAGTTGGTTTAGTTTGTGTTTTCCTTCGCTTTGGTTTGTTTGTTTCGATTGTTGTATGTAGATGTATGTAGATACAATCAAGTCTATCACTTACCCTGGAACTCATCCCACATCAATCCCCAGAATCGGGTGCGGTTGAACTCGCCAGAAGTAACGGCCTTGAACCCAAGGTCTTGCTGCATCTTGACGACCTCACGGACGGCTTCTTGTTCGATGGCAGGCAGTCCGGCGGCTTCGGCCGAGATTCCGGTATCGGCAATCTTCTCGCGCACCTCAATTAGGTTGTCTGGACGTAGTAGTGAGCCCATCTGCTCAGCCCGGAAGGGTGGAGCGCTTTTAAGGTTGTTCGCCATGATGTTGTATGGTTGGGTGAAAAGCTATCCTGTTCCAGGAGAGCTTCTTGGTACGAAAATGGTTTAACTGGGGAAATTCTACATTTCGTAAAGGGGATATCCTAAGCTCCTTTTTTCCCGGCTCTTCTCCATGTGGAGGCTCTTGTTATGCGGGGCAGCTAATGTGGTGCCAATAATGGGGCTGTTTAGGAGACTTATAGCTGTCTATCTTCTCTCTTTCGCTTGCTATACTATAAATATAGAGAGATCTAGCTGTCGTATATCAGCTAGATGCGGATATACTAACCTTGGAATCTTCCTATATTTTTACCTCAACCTGGAAGGTCAGCCTGCAGACGCCACGGCTGCGAAAAAGAAAAGAGCCCCACATACGCTATAAAACTATAAATTTAGCAGATACGTACTACTAATTTTTTACTACAGCAGATTCAACACTACCAAATAGAAATTTTTAAAATTATATCACATTGGCAAATATTCAAAGTGAATTCTGCATTCGCGCATGGTGTAAATTGAACACCGACCGTGAAGAATGGCACGTGCTTTCCCAATACCGAGATAGCAAAATTGTACCTCTTGATATGGACCAAAAAAGAGCCTCACCTTAGCTCTACAGTGAAGGACATGTAAAAGAAAAAAAAAAAGGTAGCTTCTCTTTGATTGAGCGTGTCATCCTTAGTGCAGGGGCCATGCTAATCTTCTCTGTATATTTTCATTTGACCATATGCCCCGAAGGGCGAAAGGACTTCCTTAAAGTTCAATATAACCCCCATTTCTCGGCAGAATTGTACCGCCTACTGGTTTGGATGGCACGGGTGTGCGATGCCAGCAAATTGTATGGGTTGCTGTGGGCTGCTAATTGTCTTATTTTTGTGCAATATTTGGCGTGACAGTTGGCTTGACAATTAGCTGTAGTTCAGATGGAAAGATTGGAAAGAGATATGAGTAGATGAAAAGGATAATCCTGTCTGCGGGGCACCTGGTAGATGGCCCCTCCATGGGGGTTTGTGTGTGATTACTCATCGCAATGGGGTGCCCAACCCTGTAACCCTGTGCCCTGGGGGTTACTCCAATAATAGACAAGCTTGGAAGTGAGCTTAAAAGTATGTTGGTTCCAAGGTTGTAAAATGGTAGAAATTCAGTAAGTAATGTTGTCGTGGTCCTAATTTTGACCTCGCAAATTCTCACTATCATGAATATGTAATGTGTTGAATGTCGAGACTTCTGTCAGCCTCTCCAAGCCCTAAGTGACTCTCCCCTTAGGTCGGCACCGGGCTATCATTAATAATGTGGAGTTTTGAGTCTATGCTTGGCTGCTCTGTCTCTTCGTTTCTTTATTCAGATTAATTTGATTCTAAATACACCTCGCTAGGTTTTTTTTTTTTTCTTCGTTTTGCATGTGATATTACACTTGTCGAACAGAAGGATGAGGGATATCAATCTACGGAGGATCTTAATGTGGTCATTTGGCTCCGTTGAGGGATACGTATACTTCAAGAATAAACGATTAGAACCATATAAATATCGGAATATTCTATACTATTATTCACATATATCTCTTCTTTTTCTCTTCTAAAACAGTATTACCGCATAGTCACAAGCTCTTCGGCGCTAGTAGGGTGGATAGCAACGCAGCTATCAAAGTCCTGCTTAGTAGCACCCATCTTGATAGCGACACCGAAGCCCTGCAGCATCTCGCCGACGCCAAGACCAAGGATGTGCAGACCAACAACCTTCTCCTGGGGACCGGCGCAGATGATCTTCATCTCGGTGGGGTTCTTGGCCTTCTCCTCGGCGGACAAGCCAACATCGTAGAACATGGCAGTGAACTTGGTGTGGTAGACCTTAATCTTGTCATCGCCATAGCTCTGGCGGGCCTCGGGCTCGGTGAGGCCGACACAGCCGACCTCAGGGTGCGAGAAGACGACTGTAGGAATGTTCTCGTAGGAGAGCTTGGAGTGCTTTAACTCGGGAGGGCCGAAGAGGCGGCTACCGAGTTGGCGGCCGGCAGCGATGGCAACTACGGGATTGAGTCAGTAAATATGTTTTAGAAAAAAAAAAAAATTCAAGGTGGATATTGCAACTCACCAGGAGTCAGCTCGGCTTGACCGGTCACATCACCGAGAGCGTAGACACCCTCAGCTGAGGTGTTCTGGTACTCGTCAACCACGACGTGGCCGCCAGCATTCAGCTTAACACCAGGGATATCCAAGTGGAGGTCTTCGACCTCCGGGGAACGGCCCACAGCCCAGAGAAGCTCGTTGACCTCGAGCTCAGAGCCATCATGGCCGATGAGCTTGAGCAGGCGATCCTTGCCCTTGCCATCGCGGATGAGCTGGATCTCCTTGAAACCGCCGTGGTTGCGGTGAAGATTGACGCCAGCAGCCTCGTAGCGATCAGTCATAGTCTTCTGAATCATAGGGTCGAACTTGCGCAGGAAGTTCTCGCCACGGATGAACATGTGAGTCTCAACATCAACGGCGTTGAGGACACCAGCAATCTCAACGGCGATGTAGCCTGCACCGACAACAGCGATCTTCGGGGGAAGCTCTTCCAACTCGAAGAATCCGTCGCTAGTGATACCGTGCTCGGCGCCGGGGACGGAGGGGAGGCTAGGCCGGCCACCGGTCGCCAACAGGATGTGGGGTGCGGTGTAGCGGGCGGTGCCGGAGCCATCAGCCAGCTTGACCTCAATAGTGTGGGGCTCGACGAAGCCAGCACGACCTTGGACGAGGTCGATTCCTTCACGACCCCAGTTGCGCTCGTATGCGCCGTTCAGTCGCTTGATAACGGCATCGCGGGTGTTCTTGAAGTGGGTGTAGTTCATAGCAATGTTATCGGGGATGTCGTAACCATAGCTCTTTCCAATGTGCAGCATCTCGTTGATGGTCGCAAAGTTCCATGTCATCTTCTTGGGGACACATCTAAATGTTGTCAGAAAAAAAGCGTCAATGAAGTATGCCAGCATTACACCATGTACTCACCCTACGTTGACACAGGTACCGCCAGACCGCCCGCTTTCCACGATTAGGGTCTTCTTGCCATACCAACCTGCTGCGCGGCGGGCACTTCCACTGCCACCACTACCACCGCCGAGGACGATGTAGTCATACTGCTGTGTTTCGACGGGAGCCATATCGGATGACTGTTGGTTCTTAGAATTGGAGGACGAAGAAAAGTGTCGAGAGATTGTAGAGAGACGAGAGTTGGCAGCAATTGAGTCTGCAGGGGTGGATCGGGGAGAGTTAATTGTCGCCAGAGTTCGATTGGTCAAACGACCAGGACGGATTTGACCGACGGAAGACCGGGTCAAAGATGAAGAGGCTCGAAAGCTGATCCGGGATGATTGGATGGAGCGGGAGAGCATGGAGAGAGGGGAAGAGGGGAAGAGGGGTAATTATATACAGGCTGAGGTGAGAGGGGACCGAAAAAACACGGCTGTGGTGACGATATCGGGGTTCGTTAATGCGCGTTGGTTCTTCCGTCACCACGGGCGATTTCTCAGCAGTGATTACGTGATCAGATCTAGATCCGGGCAGATGCCCACATCTGATCTTGAGATCTTGAGAGGCCGATATAAACTTGATACGATACTTTTGGTTTATTATTCCATTCGAGATCTACACTATGTTTACATCTTTGACATGTAAGATTATTGAATTCGTAGATCGTATATATGATATATGGGTATAGGAAAATCAAGAAAGAGCGACAGGGAGTGACCAGCACTCCAGAATCAAACTTGAGGGAGCACACAAGGAAATGATATCGATCAGACAACTCGTAACTCAAGCACCAGGGTTGAATCACTGGAATGAGCTGAGATTTGATTGAAACCAATAAAGGCCAATGAATGTTGAAAGATGTTTCAGCTAGAAAAGGGCGCCAGCCCTATCAATCTGAAGATGTTGGTTGAAGTATGATAGTAGCAGGGAAGAGGGTATCAAAATGCGAAGAATGTAAAAGACGGAGCCATCAAGTCTGAGCCTTTGTATATCTGGGCTCCATGTCACAACATCCAGTTGGATGTGATACATGTAGCCAGCCTATTGGGCCAAGGACTAGACAGCAGTTGGGGGTGTGGAAGAAGGATGGTGAATATTTGCATAGAGAGAGATCGAGCAAGTATATTCTGATGGCCTGTAGATCATTCAATCCACACAATTCTGCTGCTCTGTCGGTCACAATCTGTTTGCGACAGAGGGGCAGTCTTCAAATGTTGAAGGTAGTATGAGAACCAGATATTGACTCGTATGGTGTGTTACGAGGGGAGAATATGAGGCAAGGGTGTTTCGGAAATAGGAGAGACATCCCAGACTCTAGGATTCAGGGCCACAGTGAGTGATCCTCTCATCTTCGTCTGGGGAGCCGTTGAGGTAGAACGCTTATCGCGGGCGGATGACTAGTGGGTATAGGCGATAACGGCAAAAGAGATGAGGCAGAAGCAAAGAGGAATGTAGACAGAACGTTCCATGTCGGCTTGTGTTGAGGAGTTGCGTTTCATGGTTTTCAAAGACGTACAATAGCACAGTGATGTAGTGATGTGTCTGGAGATCTGAAAAGGAGGGGGTCTGGGAGTATGAGAGAGTCCGGGGAGGGCGGTGTGTTTATCGTTATCTGCTTAAGTAACTGCGTTGGGGCCTCAACAAAACATCACCTGACTCAACATGCGAAGGCATTTGATCAGTCAACGAATAGAAAGGCCCCAGGGGATGCCCACAGTCCACTCTTGAAACGGTGGACAGGCAACCATATTTGAACATTAAGCCCCGTGGGCTGTGGTTTTCGAACATTAAACACTGTGGACTTTGGTTGGCAAGTGAGAACACCCAAGTATTACACGTGGTACCTGCATGAGCCTCGGCAAGTCCCGATTATTATACAGTGGACTGGGCATTTCCAAGTCAATGTTTGGTCACTTCCAAGGTTGATGTGATAATATGTATCAAATCAGTCTAAATATAGCCCTAGCGGGTTGCAATCTAAAGAACATCATTATC